TTTTTTTCACATATGTTTGACTATGATGCGATTCTTCATGAATTCTGTTAAAATATGTTAATTTAATGTATATATCTTATTAAAACCTTATACTTAGTGTCATTGATATATCTTTATGTTAATATTAAAGTTTTTATAGCATTTCTATTTGTATCTTAATTTTTCTCCGATATACATGCGTATCCAAGACGTATCTCGATATATATTTTAAAATTGCCTTCTTGATATACTAAGSGTATCCAATACTTTGAACCTTGCTGAAAGCAAGAAGCCCCCTACACATTAATCCTCCAAAATACACTTGGTGCTCATTTTGGGAGGCTGAGTTGAACATTCAGTTAAACCTACCTAAAGTGGTTGAAGTGGACAGCTGACCATGTAGTACCATCTTTGGAAAGTCAAAAGCTGCCACATGATAAATGTTGAGGCAATATTTTTTAATGAAAAGCGTTTTGATATGTTTTTTTTTTGCTATTTGGCATAGTTCCATGTTTCTTGTGATAAACACACCCAAATAACTTCCGTTTTTTTTTCAGTAAAAGTAAACGCTTATGTGGCACCATTTTTATGATAAATGGAAGCCATACCAAATATAGCTTAGTTTATCCATAGCACTTAAAAGCAACTATGCCGGCTTGGCTGAACCTCGCCTTCCCAAATGAGCACTAAGGGCAATAATCAACACTGCTTTTGATCGCACATTTAAGAGGTACTCAAGGTTCAAAGTATCGGAAACGTCAAGTGTATCGGAAAGGCAATTTTAAGATACGTATAGGGATACGCCTTGGATATGCATGGGTATTAGAGAAAAACTAAGATACGCATAGATACGCTTGGAAATACTATAAATACTTTAATAAATCATAAAAATACATCAACAACACTAAATATAAGACATCAATGAGGTGTATATACATTAAATTAATATATTTTAATGGTTTTATGAAGAAATATATTATAACTATTTATAATTTCATAAAAAATCCTATGCTTAACTATAATTTATAAATTATAATTCTTAAGTTTTAATGTTTTATGGGATGAGAAAAACCCAACTCACCTATCCAACCATAAAACATGCATTGGCACAACTTCTATGTGAAAATATAATTAATAATTATTTATTATTTAAATAATTATTATTTATTATTCATTTCCAAAAATTATAAAAAGTAAAATAAACATTATATACTATATTCAAAAAATAGTTATTAAATAAGTAATTTCATCTATGGATATGATAGATCATCCATAGAATTATAATATATTCAATCATTGTGATCAAATGATAAAATATAATTAATTAATTAATTATTTTTTAATTCTAAAAAATAAAAAAATAATTATTAAAGAAGAAAGTTCAATTAGTCTATGGATAAGATAGATCATCCATAGAATTATAATATATTTAATTGATATGATCAAATGATAAAATATAATTAATTATTATTTATTTTTTTAATTCTAAAAATATAAAAAAAAATATTAAAGAAGAAATTTCAATTGCTCTATAGATATTATAGATAAATGCACAGATCTAAAACATATTTAGTCTTTATAGGCAAAGAAAAAACTTACATTTTCAATTTATTTTGTTAATTTATATTTTCCCCAAATATCTTCACGAAATTTCCATAAATCTACTGATAGCACAAAAAAATTGTGATTTTGAATGTAAGAAATGTATATCAACATAAATTTAAACATTCAAGAAAAAAAAATCACAAGATATTATAAAAGATTGAAAAAAAATTACCTATTTTTGCCATATTTTTCAAAAATTATAAAATCTTGAAAAATTTTGCAAATCTAACACTCTAGGAATGAAGTTTGGAGTTTTAAAGTCATGGGGGGGTGAAAGAAGGCTTATTTCGGGGAAAAGAAGCTTGCTTTCCCCCTTTAATTTTTCTTAGTTTTTGACTGTATCTTTTTTGTCAATACGCTACTAATACGCCCCCGATACGCATGAAATTTTAAAAGATATGACACGATACGCCCTATATCGGACATATCGTATCGAAATTTTAAACCTTGGAGGTACTCGCTCCAAGCAATCAATCAAAGGACTTGCTATTCGATAGGTTATATATTTTGCTAAAAAAGGTGTATGTTTTGCTTATTAAAAACACATAGATATATTTAGTAGACAAGATAAAAGTGTAGACGCATCCAAGTTCCAATGAAGACCACAACTTAAAAAGTATTAACGATAGTTGCTTCTAAGTTTAATGGATTCCCCTACTCTAGTTTATAGCTAAATTAATTAGTGGATGAAAGAATAACAGCAGCAAGAAAGCACTAGCTTGGAGAGTGTTGGACAGTTAAAGAATAAAATCTCCAGCAGATGAGTGTGGTAGAAATGCATTTGCTAACATGTTGAGTAGAATAACTAGAAAGGATAGGACTAAAAATGGAGTTATTTGTGAAACTTAGGAATATCTTTAATAGGTTATGAAATGAGAGAAAACAGGCTATGGTTTGAACATGTACATAAAGATCACTGGCAACATTCTTAAGAAGTGTTTTGATACTAGTTGAGGGGGCTAGAAGGATAAGGGGTAGACCACAAAGGATACGGGTAGAAGTGGTAAGAAATAAAATGGAGTAGCGAAAAAGGATTCATATAGCCGGCACCACCACATGTACGCTTTGAGTTCAATTATCAATTTTCTAGTTGGAGACATTTTGAATTAAAACATAAACAATTATAGAACACTTTAAATGAAAATCCATGTTAGGGGATGTTTCAAGAAATATCAATTTGATGTTTTCCTATAAAAAAAAGAAAAAAAGGGTAAATTACAAAGACCCCTGGACTTTCATTTGAGTTAGTGACAATTACCCCTTGAACTTTCATTTGTGACAAATACCCTCTGGCCATTAAAATCTGATGACAAAATGTGTTAAATTACTAAAATATCTACACGAACCTTTTCTTATTTTCTTTTCCTCACCTTTTTCTCTTGAACCCTAATTGACCCAAAAAGACCTTCATTTTCTCCAACCAAGACCAGCTAAAATAACAAGAATCATTTCATTGACATAGAAAAACAAGTTCCTTTAAATTCTATTTCATTGACTTGGATGTCTTTCATTGTCTTAAAATTTAAAAATTATCCACTCCTTTCTCTATTAAATTATTAAAAACCAAACAAAACCTTAAATTTGTATCCATTAGAAAGAAACCTCTATCATTTCTTTTGAATATTGAATCCAACCAGAAATCTGCAAAGATTCTATTAGAGCAATTAAGAAGACTTCAATACTATATTTAGAAAACTAATTGAATCATAAATCATTCAAATAAATAAGAAAAGGGTGGTTTGAGATTTCAAAAATTTTAAACAACTGAATGGTAATCTTTTTCGAAGTTAATTATTGGGACTCTATCAAGGGTGGAGGAGAGGGGTATTTGTTTTAGAGTGAAAGTTCAAGGGGTCTTTGTTGCAAATGAAAGCTTAGAGGGTAATTGTCATTGGCCCCATAGTAAAAGAGATCTCTATCGCAAATGAAAGTTCAAGGGGGTAATTGTCAGGTGCCCCATAGCACACGGGATGTCTTTGTAATTTAAGAAACATTATACATCAGTTTGATGATTCCTGATTTGGGAAACAAAGTATTTTGTTTCAACACTTTGACTGGTGTGGCGCTAACATGGATGGAAAAACAATTTTTTTTTTCATCAAACAGGATTCAACTCATTCAAGTACAAATAGTGGTGTTTGTGTTTCAAATATAAACACACGATGCATTACAACTTGAAACACCAATGGTATCAAGCACAATTACGCAATCTTAACCTCCTAATTGATGCTGTTAAATTGCAATGATACAGATGTTATATCATCTCCGAACACAACCAATGAGCTGAGCAGCACCAGTAAAAAATGCAACAGAAAAATAAGTCTGTTGTAGAACTTAAAGTGAGTTAACATCCAAGTTCAACTTGTAGGCGTTTTGTAAGAATATATTTTTGTACTGAATACAAAAATAAGTCTGTTTTTCAATTGCTTGCATTCAAAATAAAAACAAAAATGGAAGCAAACTTTGCACTCAAAGCTGGCCATGGTAAAATATCTTGGATTTACACTTTCACAACCAAACAACATATTGTGAATTTATTAATGCACAGCCGAATCAGTTTTCTTTTTTCTTTTTTTTTTGGATAAATAACCGAATCATGCTTGTATCCTTCCATTTGAACAAATTTGCTTTCACTTTTTTGCACTTTTACCAAACACAGCCCCCCAGTATGCATCCAGCAACACAATATAACCGAAATGGTGCACCAAGATCAGACTTTCAAGGGATTAACAAATGATCAGGTGGAATATTGGAGTACTTTGTTCCGTCTATTCTGTGCAGTATCAGTAAATACCATGTTGCATCGAGAAGTATCGGTATGAACTGATACCGTTCCGTATCATCTAAAAAGTATTTAAAAAAGGAAAAGAATTAATTAATCCCAACAACTATCACACATATCCTAATCATTCCACCATATCCTTGCGTTTCTTAAGCATAACATGTCTTAAAGTTACTTTTCTGATACTCTTTGTAATACCAGTTTTTTGAACCCTGAAAGTAATAATGAAGATTTGAATTTTAATCAATAACCAAAACCTACTAAATAGACGATGGCAGGATACAATCTTACAAATGAAAATCTTGAGTGAATCCACTTGTGAATTTATAATCTGAAGCAGCAAGCTATCTTTCTTTGCAAACTTCCAATAGAAAAGCAAATTCAAAAAACAAGAGATCTAGACTCAAAATATCATATTGTTGAACTAATAATGTTAAATATGCAGAAAACAAGTGGGTGGAGGTAGAATGTACCTGCTCAATCCAACTTACCCAAATGTGAGGGTGGCCTGGAATTTGAGGCTTCCGTTTGGTCACGGGCTGGGTCATAAATACCTGACCCAGTCCATATTGGGCTTTGATGTCTCAGCCAGCCCTTTTTTTTTGGACGCCAACAGTCCATATTTCTAAAACAATATAAGAATGATAACATTATTTTGTATCTAAAAGGATTCCCGGTATTGAGTTTTACATGGTTCAATTTAGTTTACATAATAGTGTAACATAAGAATAGAAGCAAAGCCAATTAGGATAAACTAAACTTGGATTTGGACTTGGACCAAGAATTTTGATCAGGTATATATGCATTGTGTTTTGACTATTCAAATCTTAGGGCTGTGTTTGAGTTGGCCCCAACCCATCCAAGTTGCATACCAATCCTGACATAGGTAACTCGTAAACTTCCAATGCAGAAAAGTTGCAGCTCAAAAAAGTAATCAGAGAGCAGAAGTAAACAAATATTGAATTCTGCAGGAAAGCGACACAAACAAGAAAGACTGATAATGCTCCTTATTCATCAGCTTCCTCCTTTCTGTTTGAGCGTGATTTTGTCCCCCAGACTTAGGGCAATCCCCTGTGTCTTGCTCCTTATCCTTATGTATCCACTGAGCTTCCCATCTGCTTGTTTCTCAATGCTCAGGTTTACCAAAGCATCCTCTCCAAACACACTCTTTGCATACAAGTTAGCAGAGAGGAATCCACATTCTCCATCCAGAACCGACCTGAATCAGGACAGCCACATATAGGAAGAACAAAAAATGATTGGTCAGTCATGGTGTGATGATCCCTAGCAGAGAGAGAAATGCAAGATGGATTAAAAGTTCAAGTTGGTCATTTGGTAACTGTAAAAAAAATCACTACCAATGCTGGTGCTAGCTATCCTGGATCTTGGGGAAGATGTGCTGTGAACAGACCTAACCTTCAGCATTTTCAGCACAAAGTGGCACTCTCACACTTAAACCTGCTTTCTCACAGTCATCATCGCAAGATCTTTTCTTTTTCTTTTTTTTTTTTTTTATTCACAATCATCATCCAAGATTTTACCACTGCACCAAGCAATGGCCCTTATAGGCCTTTCTAAATTATTGGATAAACTAAAGGTTTTCAACTTTCTTTTTTTTTTTTTTCCCTAATTGATGGGTTGGTCTTCTTCTACACTATCTAAATAGCAGCACCTTGCCCTATATGCATCTATCATGTCCACTACATAACAAGTAGGTTTGAATGAAGTTCAGACAAAAGAACTTTCCAACTAGCTTTATTATATATATATATATATCCAATACATAGAGCATGCAAAAGAGAAAAGCAAGAACTTACGGTGGAGTAAGGCATTTCATGTTTGTGGACTTGACAATGTGATTCAGAAATTCCTTCTCATCTTGAATAACAGTGTTCACAGCCACCTGAAATATGAAGTTATGGATCAGATGCATGATGTATCAGCCAAACATAAGTAAGTTATTAAAGGGAGATGATTCATTTGTCAGAGAAAATCATGGCATTAATGACAACCGAGGGGTAATCATTACATATCAATTAGCACAACTCTTTAAATCAAATGGTTCCACCAGAATCCAACTTGTGTCACTTGGCCGCAGTATAGCATTAGAGAAACAAAAGCACAAGATATATTTTTTCATTATACAAAACAAACTCTACCACAGACCAAAATAATTTTATTATTGAAATGGTTAAGTATAAATTAGACTGCTACTTGATGCCACTACTTCACCTTCCTCTTTATCATTATGATTATCATCTACATCACCACGTCATTAACATCATTATAATCACAACTTCACCAACACTGTCACTGAATTAACATCATGAACATTATGTTCATTGCTCATTTTTGCTGCTCCTGTATAACATTTTACTGATTAGCTCTTTCTTTTGATCAGTTGAGTGTTTTTTCTAATGCTTCACCAGGCATAATTCTTATCTTAACATAGTTGATATATAAGTGGAGCCAATCTAAGTCATCCAATATTTAAAAAAAAATAAAAACAAAGAGATGAGAAAGGTAAACTAGCCTGCCAATTATGATTTATGGTTACAATCATTGGGACTGCAAGTTTACAATAGCTGTGGTTTGATCTATACGTGATGTTTTCTACAGCATTTAACAGCTATAGAAAGGCTAATATAAAGTTATTGAGAGACAAATTGTGGTTTATAACAATGTTTTAAAGTGCGGAGGTGTGACATGAGACGTTCCACTAATTGGAGGCATGAGGTGTAGTTCAGAACGTAAGAGGCGTAAGCCGCTATGAGGATGCACGATACTAACCAAGGGGGGGGGGGGTCCTGTATTTTCTTTCCTTTCTTTTCTTTATTTATTTCCTTCTTTCTTTCTGTATGAGGCATGCGTAAGGCGTGAATCCCTGGTATGCCTCGTGCAAAAGGTGCTCAAATCATAAATGCTTCTAGCATATGCCTCAGTGTGTTTTGTTAAAATCTAGTGGGATTAAACCCATCTTGCAAGTTGATAGGTAGGCAGTACAGTAAAATAACTTTCTCTAGAGGGTCTGATGATGGTGTGCCACATGGGAGTTACAAGGGAGATGTAGTTGGAGGCTAGTCTCAGCAAAACATCTTCAGTACACTAAATATTGCTTCAGAAAGTCATTAAGGCAAAAAAGCAACCTGGTTGGGGGATGCAAGTTAAGACTGAATGTTAGTTGGAGATTAGAGGTAATGATCAAAGCCCCAACAATATGTTTTCAAGTTAGGATTAGTGTCATTCTTTTCTGTAGAGTCTCTTCCACAATTTAACAAAATAAAAACAAGGAAATTCGATTCTACCTCAATCTTAACCATAATAAGGTGAACAAATACTTCAATTGGTTTTAATGATGTTTGATAGACATGACTCAATTGCATCCACATAACCCCACAAAGCAATGAGTCAAAAATAGAAACATACACTTGCATGGATACGTAAATAAATCAAGCAATTCATGATAGCCATACCTTGTTTTCCCACTCAAACTCAGCCCACATGGTTCTAAATGTCCAATCAGCACAGCTTGCTGGAGTGATGTAGTCCATGATATCTATATGGATGTCATTGAGGACAATAACCGTTCGCTCAAGCACATTGGATGTCTCGTAAACAATGTTCCCAAATATTACTCCTGTTTCAGTTGATGAGACCTTAATGTTGGCCTTTATCTGCTTGCTTGATTCTGGAGCTAGTGTATAGTTCTGTGGACGTTCCACAAGCTTGAGATCACCCATGGTTGCCAACTCCAAGCACAAATTCTGTAAGGTTTCCTTAGTTCGGTTAATGATCGTAACATCAAGGACAATGTCATAATGATGAACTGTAACATATGCTTCGGCATACACAGGATCACTAAATCCTGTAAGTTGAAGTATGCGGTTGAGCTTATTTTCATCATCACCATCCTTGGTGAAGTCTCCAGTGGCACGTTTTAGATCATCTTGGACCTGGTCTTCCAACTCAAGCTGGCTCATGCCCTGAAAATTTTGTAGTTAAGACAACTTAGCAAGAAGCTTAAGAGAAGAACAGAAGAAGAGAAAAGAAAATCCATGTGAAATTGGCACACATACACTAGATAGATATAGCAGTAGCAATACTTGGAGGATGAAATAGGCATCAAGTAAAGAAGAATAAGTATTCAAGCTCCAAAACAAGGAAATTCTTATTTGACAGTTTGTGTGTGCACTTTACACCATTATTTGTTAAAACCCTTGATCTAAAGAAATCTATCAGAAATCAAAAATAAAAATAAAACCTTAATATAATTAATCCTGTAGTCTCTGCTTTCCCCTACACCACACACATAGGCCCACATAAATATATCTACGTCTTACATAGAAAGAAACAATAAAAGTACAAATAAATTAATGACTATAGCGATCAAGGTGAAAGGTTCTGTCCAATAAACATAAAGAATTCATCAAGTATGCCACTTTAAGGGAAGGGAAAATTCCCAATTAGTACCCTGTACTTTGGTCCCCGAACTTTAAAATGTGACAATTCAGTACCCGAACTTTCAAAACGTGACAATCCAGTACCTGCCGTTAATTAGCTGTTAAGTGACACTTTAAAAAGACACAAATGCCCTTCGAGTGTCATCTAATTTTCTTTATCAACTATCCAAACATTGACAAAAAAATTAATAGTCCCAAATCGTTGCCTCTTCTATTCAAGAAAGTTGGGGTCACCAAAATGTCCACTCAAACGTAACCCCAACTTTCTTGAATGGAAGAAGCAAGGATTTGGGACTGTTAATTTTTTGTCAATGTTTAGATGGTTGATAAAGAAAATTAAATGACACTCAAAGGGCATTTGTGTCCTTTTCAAATGTCACTTAATGGCAGATTAACTGCTGATTAATGACAGGTACTGGATTGTCATGTTTTGAAAGTTCGGGTACTGAATTGTCGCATTTTAAAGTTCGGGGACCAATGTGGCACTAGGCACAAAGTATAGGGTACTAACCAGGAATTTTCCCTTAAGGGAATTATCATGACTTAAAGGATGCACTATTGAGCAATCCTTGGTAATCAAGCATTAGAGGGGTTTTAGAGACAGCCATGGTACCAAATTATTAGCAATCTACTCAAATCCTATAGGGGTAAGGGACACCACAAGAGCTGTAACTTTGGTGTTTTTACAGGGACTGAGGTTGGGCAGATCCCTAAATCTAGAGATATAATGGTTGAAGGGACTTTAAGGTGGTAGTGAGATGGCTAAGGAATTGCAACAGGGGTGATGGCAGTTTCATATTGATATATCATGAGCAAGGTTCAAAGTATCGACACAGGCCTATCGGTGCTTTTTTTATGTTTTATTTATTTATTTTTTTTCAAAACCGGTTCAGAGGGGTTGGTTTAAGTCCTGGCTACCCTCTGAACCATGATCTGACCCAATACAACCCCTGTAAGGGTGTATCAGGAAGCCACCGGCACGATACGTATCGTCCGATATGGGCTGATACGCATCGATACTTTGAACCTTGATCATGAGTAATGGTTAGTAAAATGGTTTTCTCTTTTTCCTGTGTTGAAAGATCAGCAGAAAACTTGAATGACACAATGGCTAAACAAGGGGTAAATAGGGAGCCATTATTCTGGGGAGTGTGGACAGATGTAAAAGGACAATTTGTAATTGGGGAGGGATGGGGCTAGGTAGCAGAGGCTAGCCTTTATATATTTAGGTGCTCAACACTTACTGTAAATACATTTTTTTTTTCGTTCGCAAGCAATAAAATTCAATTGTTACCGATCAAAAAGAATAGGTGCATTTTTTTTAGCAAACAAGGGAAGACTGGATAAATCGGTATGGTGTCTTTTCATTATTAAAGTTCCAATAATCTTGATAGAGTGTGGGAAATTTTATAAATAATTAAATAACTAGGCCTGAAAAGACAATAGTGCTGCTTCAACTAGTGGAAAAAAATAATAGGTGAAAAGTAATTTCATGTTTATTAGGTATTCTAAACTCTCAACATGTAAAAGATGTCAACAATAGTATGGTCTTACCTTCCTGTTCTTCAAATGGTAGAAGTCAATGAGGTCATCTGGTTGTGCATGAGAAGTCTGAGCCTTAGCTTTATTTTCCTCTGTTTCCCGCAGCTGCTTATCTGCAAGCATTTTAACAAAACTTTGACGGCATGACTGCAACCATATTTTTCTAATTTCATCGCCAGTATTGCATAGCAATCTTATGCAAAGGACAACCCTATCATAAGAATCATTGTCAATTGGATGTGGAAGAACTGAAGAATGTCCCAACTGCAACATAGAGACCATGGTTAATAAGGCCTGACTAGATGCTTTGTTCACTTCAACTTTAGATGGCTGAACCTCTCCATATCTCAAAACGAGTTTTGTTAGCGTACAGGCAATGACTGTCCCAAGGAAGAAGTCACCAATAAGAAGGAGTGACCTCAAATTCCCAGTAGATGATAAGGACCCTGCAACAAGGGAAGGAGGAGCAACAGCAATTTCTGATGCAGCACTCTGGGTTGCATAGGTACCATCTGCAAGAATGGCAGGTCTTCTGGAGGATACAGTGATAGAATTTGCTTGTGGAGGCTGTTTTGGAGCATCTACAGCATTTTGTTCTTCTGTAGCTGTGTAGAACGGGAGGTCTCCAAGACATTGCTTGATGGTAGCAATCCCACTCTCAACTTCTGAAAGAGAGAGACAGTATTCTCCAATGATCCAAAGAGCACAAGCACAAACTCTTGTAGCACGAATCTGGTAGAAAGTGTCCAAGAGCCTCATTATTATAGAAACTCTTAATTTTGGGTTAGTAGCAATTATCTCTCGCACAAAAACGACTACATCCATGGCTGAAGAAACATTACTATCCCCCAAGAAATCCATCAATAGATGAACCACCGTGCTTGCCACCTCAGGGAATTTAATAGCACAAGTATGTATTGCCTGAACCAGCATTTGTCGGTACTCCCCATTCTTCTCAAGCTCCGTGCTCTGAGTCTTCACGACTTCCTTCTTCAAAGTAAGAACGACTTCATCAATATTCCTAGGAGTAATTAGTTCAAGCACAATATCAAGTGTTTTCCTGCGAATGTCAAGGTTGGGGCTAGAAAGAGCCCTAAGCACATCCATGATCATATCAATCATAACATCTCTATGAGAAGATTTAAGCTCATTCAGCCTATCAAGAACAATAAGCTTAACATTGTTGTCACTCTGAGAGAGCAGAAGCTGGCAATAAGTATTGGCGGCAGCTCTGATAGCCGTGGGAGCAGAGGAGAGTGAAACAAGTGTGCCAGCACACTCATAAATAACAGCTTCGGAGGGGGCATTCAGTAGCGAAATAATGATCTTAATGTACTTCCCCTTCTCTCCCGGATTCGTTCTGCAAACCTTGCGGATCAGCTCCAGCACAACCATCTGAAGGAGTTCCCCCCACTCAGGGACACTGTCAACGTGGGTGAAGAGGTAGTTGACCGCACGATCCTGAGCACAATTGAAGAGCATAAGGAAGGCGTTCCGCTTTGCTGACGGGTCCTGCTCAGACAAAAGCGCCTTCTCGATCATTTCAGGTGCATCGACAAGAAGCTGCTCACCTTGGGGAAGTTTGTAGATGGCCATGATAGCGAGGATCGCATTCCTCCGCACAAAAGGATGGCGATGTTCTAAATTGGACAAAACCGAAGGGATCAATGGCTCAATGATCTCGGTCTCGTTCATACGACAAAGGAATCTAAGAGTGACGCCACGGATGTATTCGTTCGGGTGCTGGAGATTATCCCTCAATTTCTGGCATATGAGAATCATTTCCGGGAGTACTTTTCCTTTCGAATCCGTCTTATCGATGATCTCCAAGTAAAGAAGCAAAAGCTTCCGGATCGTGTGGTCGTCGGTAGGCAAGACATATCGAATAATAGTGATGAACAGCTGAGGGATGGTTTCTCCGTTCAACAAAAGCATGATAGCGCTCTTCATTGCTTCGATCTTGGCGGGAACATCGTTCCCTTCTAGAGCCTCCTTGATCTCGTTAGCGAGAGCAGGAGTTGAACTGTCGAAGTGAACAAGCAACGAGCAAGATTTCTCCATTCTCTATGATAGTTTCTTCAAATCCGAGAAGCTAATCTACAACTGCTGTTTCGAAGCCCTAGATCCTAAGCATTTCCATTCTTCTATTCAACGTGTTCAATTGAAAAATCGAAAAGTAAGAGAGATCTAAATCCGTACCTTACTGCTACGCCAGATCGAAATACGAACAATTCCAGTAGATTTCTCGGCTGTGGAAGTTATGCCAAAAGATCTGAAAACAAAGTCGAGAGAGGGAGACAGTAAAGAGAAGTGAAGAGAAACTGTTATCTCTCTTTCTCTCTTTCAGATCTGCGCCAAAAGGATTCTGGTTAGTGGAGTTAAGAGTTCAGACAAAACATAAAAAGGGAGAAGGAGAATTGTGACTTCTGGGTTGTAAAGGACTTTATCGTAAATATGAAAATTTTCTGAACCTTTAAGTAAATGACTTGTTTCTCACTGTGGATTACCGCAGGAGAAAAAGGAAAACGGACAGAGATTTCGAACGGGCAAACCGGCGAATAGTCGTCATTTGCTTGTCATCATCATTTTACTCATGTACTCTACGACGCCGATAGTCGTCATTCCTTCAGATTTCCTCCTCTCAAAATCTCACGTGCTACCCACATCCACTGCCGTGTATTGGGACATGTCCATGAATTATAAAAGAGATATTCTTAATACGCAGCTGTTATGTCCCATGGATAGGATGTGGGAATAATTCGTGGGCAGCAGACCCGAACCCGCAAAATCCTCCTGCGACCCACTTCATATTACGTTTTAACCGCATGTTGGGATATCTATCTAATTGTATAATTATATGCTTTCATTGATGGGAGATGTTCCCAATCCACGGCTGTGCCCCACAGCCTATCCATTCGATTTATTGAGAGTATCTCCCCATGACAGCCACGGAAAGAGAGGATAGGCTGTGGATAGTAGATTTGATATCGTATTCTTGGTCACGGAAGGAGAGGATTGGCCTCGATCACCTCAAAATCTTGTTAGGAAATTATTAAAAAAATATGATTTTAATTTTCTGTGCCAATTGAACATGAATCGGAATTGAATACAGATAGTGTAACCAACATCTCCCTAGTGACTAACAAGATATAATATTGTATACGTATAACTTCAACAATGACTGTTGGGATCAACATGATTTGTATCTATACATCTTATAATGGGTTCTAGTCTCATGGTGAGATGTTGTACGTATACAATATATCTAGATGTGTATTGGAGCAGGTTTTTGTTGTCAGCATGCAGACTAGGAGAAAAATCTCTTTGACATTGATTTTTCATTTTTCTAAAGTTATTATGCGCAATTGCCTAATATCCTCACACCCACCTCATAGTCAATAATCAACATGTTGCAGCTACACATGGGGAACAATTCCATATTTGTATATTTTCATTCATGTGAGATGTTTCTAATCCATGGCTGCAAGTACTGTGAGGTGGGTGTCAAGAGGGTTTTGAAAGGAGGAAATCAGGATTCACTTGAACTTACATCATGACTACCTAAAATTTTGGTTCCATTTATTGTTGAGAAAATTATAAAAAATAAGATTTTAATTTCCTATGCTAATTGAACATGAGTTCGGATAGAGCATAGATCTAGTCCTAACACAAGTCCCAACAGCCACTGCAACCATTCATTGGGAACATCTCCCTTCTTCTTCGTGGCAAAATGTTCTTGATGTACAACTACAAATGCAATGGTTGTTAGAACCCTATGTTGGACCAGATCTGACCACAACAAAAAACTGTTCCAAATTCTAACACTTTCCAACATGATCTCTCTCTCCACACATTGCAAGCACGATGGGTACCGGTCTCATGGTCAGATGCACTGGTGCAGATCATGTTAGAAGTGTCTTGGGACAGTTTGGTTGTAAGCAAATCCTAACTCGTTGAATATAGGGCAAAAAACTCTAACATTGATTTTCATTATTTCTAGAGTCATGCCCAATGGCCCAATATATCTTAAATGTAATATAAATCCTATTTTATTGATTATAAACAAAAATAATGAAGAAATAAATTTAAATAAAATGAATATAAAAAACATGACCCATGATCATGTGAGTTTGGAAAAGGTTTTATGGTCGACTATTAACTTGGCATAACCATCATTTATCATGCTTGGGACTAGTGGTGTAAGACAACCTCACACTATTAGGCTAAGTAGAGTTGGGTCAAAGCTTAGATGATGATGTAATGTAAAAATAAAATAATAAAGATTTACATTTTAGCTTTATAAAAATATAAAAAAATAAAAAAAAAACTACTAAATTTATGGTAAAGTTTTTATATACAATAATAACCATCTACTAGATGTTTGAAAAGCCATTTTAAATAGTAATAGGGTAGAAGTTGAATATAAAATTACCTTATCTCCATCTCTTGCATGTTCAAAATTCAACTAGTTCTATAAATAGAGAATACTTCTATTTTTGATGGATGTAGAACATCATAGAGGCTTTAGGAAGAAAAGATATAGAACCTTATAGATATGGTTAAAATGAACACTTAAATTGGCAATATTAAAACATCTCTAACAATCGAAGGAGGTGTTTGGGATTGATGATGATTCCTCTGATGAGATTTCTCATAAATGACTGATTTTTTAAAATCACTAATTTCTCATAAATTAAAGAAATTGTTTGTTTGGTACCATTGTTGCCATGTCAGCTTTAGAAATCGGCTATGAATTTATTTCTCATAAAAAAGCTTTGCCCGAACTTTTTAGCCCGTTTTCAACAATTGACTTTTGATCAATTTGCTGATTTCTCAAAAATCGGCCAACCAAACAACAAAATAGTCAATGATTTTTGAATCGCTGATGTGGCATCAATTTATCAGTCCCAAACACCACCTAAGTATGCAACTTTACAAATGAAAATCAAGCATTTTCCATCACAATTTTATACCAATTCTTAATAATGAGAAACATGCATTTGTACATGTTAGAAAATAAGTATGCAATGAATAACAACATCGATATGGCAATTGTAGTTTATTAAAATTGAAACAATAATAAAATTATAATGATCAAATTGAATATGCAAAATATAAAACATAAAACTTTTTACTAAATGTTTAATTGTATTCTCAATTACAAGTAGATTCTTTGCCTTGGAAGCATTCACATAACTATGTCTACATAATTAAATCAGCTTACCAATGTTTTACAAGAGATCTTTCTTATGTTTCCTCTTAAATGGTGCCATGGAAGAGTATACGGAAGGTTAAGGTTCCTTTCAGATTTCAGATTTTCCTTTGGAAAGTATACTAGGATGGCATTAATGAAGGACAAATTGACATTTTTTCTATATCAGGAAGCTTTATGTGCATGGTTTTAAGTATCAGGTATCGATACGCCTTTGTGTATTGGCAGAGGTGTATCAATARTTTAAGTGATGCACCTTTTATTTTTTAGTTTTTTAATTATAGTTTTAAGTATAATTATGTTTGTGGGTATATAAATTATTTTGAAAAAGGGGTTCCCAAAAACACCTATAAACGGGTGTTAGACAGTTGTATGCCCTTAGCTTCAATCAGAATTATGTACATTATGAATTTATTGTAAATGAATAAAGTACACATTTGATTCATATTCCTGTGGTGTGTTTCTGTGTTATACCCTTAAACTGGACACTTAATTAGACTTGTGTTAGTTTAAAATGTTCACAGCCATTGGGTAAGTCTGGGGAGATTTATCCTGCCAAGGCTAACACTGGTGTGCGGCCAACTGTTGGGGTGGCTTGTCTCAGTTACCAGGGTGAGACCCGAAGCACATGCAGTGTAGGATTAATAGAACCTTTGAACCAGACCAGGTTTCCAGTATTGCCCTGGACCTTGGAGATAGATGGGAAAAACTGGAAAATTACACCTAACCCCTAGACTCGATTATGATACTACACTAAATGTCAGATTGGGCTGTCTTTGATGTACCAATCAGTGAGATCCTTAGCGGGGGTCAAAACCTGGGCATGTTGGGACAGTTCGAGAATTCATCTGAGTGGGTGATCATAGTGACAGGATCAGCCCCTTTGTCGGAGAAAGGTAATGATCGGGGATGCACTCTCTCTAATGGAAACCAAGATTGCCGACATCCGATTTCAATTGTTGAGATTTTGTTTTGCAAAATATATTTATATATATATGTTATGGTTTCAAAATGATTTGCAAAAGGTTTTAATTCCCGGGATCCATGTAAGCGGAGAGTGCAACACTGTTCYTTGCAGTCGAGGGAGAGGTCCTCCCTTGTCGGGCAGTGTTTGATCATTATGGGCTGAGAGGTTAAGTGTAAGACCATTGA